TACTTAGTTTTGTTAACGTTAATATTTACATACATATCCATACAACATAATATCATACAAGCAATAGCATTAAGTTAAAAATTAATAATTTGAATTAATTTCAATTTGGAAAATATTAAAATTTATTTATTTCAAAAAAAAATTTATTTATTTTCGGCCAAGTATAGTAGAAAATTCTATTTTAGGGAAAATAATAAATAAGAAAAACAAAAAAAGAAAACTGAAACAAAAAGAAATTTCGTTATTTTTAAGTACAACAATTAACAATTAAAAATGTGAAACCAAACTGCAAAAACTAGTAAAAAAAAATTACAGCTAATTTAACTGCGCTAGCCATGATAATTTTAATCTTTTTGTAATAGATTAGCAATGTTTACAAACTTGATTAGCAACATTTGTTTATAAACACAAATATGGCGCGATATACTGTGTTTATGAAAGGGCCTATTATCTTCGTCACTAATAAATTCGATGAAATTCTGAAAACTGCACAAGGAAAAAGATCTTAAGCCGACTTAAGATGTTTTGCCATGTGGGTAGCGATTTATCAACAAACTCAAATGGAAAAGAAAAACTGATTTTTTGATAATAACAAATTCTTTAATTTTTTCAAAATAGCGAATTTTGAGTTAGCAAGTGTTACTTTTTAAGTCTTTTGTTATCCAATAGCAGTTCTAATATAATAATATCAATTTCTACGGTTACATTACAATTTTTCTTCAATTTTTTCAAAATATTTTATTTTCATTTTTCATTTTTCTTCGTTGAGTTGCAATTTTCAACATTTTATTTTTGTACAACATTTTCCGAACGAGACTTTTTTTATTAACGCTTTCCATTTCTTTTATAACTCAATTTTCTTTATAAAGATCTAGGCATAATTAACAATATTATTTCAAGTTTTGTTCTTGTGTTTTTTTAAATTTATTTACTACAGTAACTACATATTTACATATACATATGTAAAATCCAAAGGTACATATACATACATATGTGTATCTTCTATGTGCTAAATATGTGAATAATTCAATACATTCAAACATACCAAAATAAAACAAAACAAGTAAAAACGTTTCAGTCGGTATGAACCGATTGAATTATACCCTGCACCTTTCATTGTTGTATAGCAATTACTCAAACCTAAGAAACCATTCTATAGAAACTTCACGGATATGTCTGATCTATAACTGAACACACAACTACCAAGTTTCGTGAATCTGACTTTATTATTTTTCCAAATATTTAAAATTAGCTTTTGGAGTTGAATGGCAGGTACCCGAACCTGCCAAGCAATTCCACTAAAACTTCGCAAATATATCTTGATCTATAATTGGACAAACAACTGCCAAGTTTAATGAATTTGACTTTATTATTTTTCCAAATATTTAAAATTAGCTTTTGGAGTTGTATGGCAGGTACCCGAACCTGCCAAGCAATTCCACTAAAACTTCGCTAATCTATCTGATCTATAATTGGACACACAACTGCCAAGTTTCATGAATCTAACTTTATTACTTTTCCAAATATTTAAAATAAGCTTTTGGACTTGTATGGGAGCCACTCGAACCTGTCAAGCAAAACCACCAAAACTTCAGAAATATCTTTGACCTATAATTGGACACACGACTGCCAAGTTTCATGAATCTGACTTTATTATTTTGCCGAATATAAAAAATTTGCTGTTGGAGTTGTATGGCAGCCACCCGAACCGGTGCAGCTATCTCATTAAAATTTTTAGAGCATATGTAGAATATAATTGGACACATGTACACAAAATTTTATATTTGTACCTTTATTAGTTTTTAAAATAATTAAAATAAACTCTTTGAGTTGTATGGCAGCTACCCGAACCCGTTGTCCGAATTGGTTCAATAACAATAGGGTTCGTCCTTGGCACAAAAGAAGCAACTTGTGAAAGTTAGCTACAATCAAGAAGACTGACTCCAGCGTTAAACGCATGGCAATGGCGGCCATCACGCTCTCTGAGAATGCTTCAGGAATTTGGAGAGAATTGGAGGCCAAGAGGAGGCAACCATCCACAAAGGACCCACCACGGGCAGCTCAAAGCCGCGGCATACGACAGCTCCAGAAGCTGGAAGAAGTTGAGAACTGCCGATGGAGCCGTGGAGGCAAGGCCAGAAGAGTCGTCTGGTTGCTCTCCGCTATTGTCTGCAGCAGAAGCGACGTACGACAACATAATACACCTCGATCTGGCAGGTATTCTGCTGGAGCTGTACCGCAGTGACAAGGAAGCTTAGTCGTGCTAAATTAGCTGTTGTCTCCTAGGAAACAATTTACCGACTCTTCTAATCGGATCTCTGCAGCTAATGCTGGTCACATATTTCCCAGTTGCACAGGACCGGGCCACCAATCGTGTTCGAGGACCGTCGTCTTGAAAAGAGGAATGATATGCCCCATTCGCAGCTTCCAGCCATTCAAATCGGCTGATGCAGATGATATAGTGCCGGCAGAACTGCAAAGCTCAACGTCCTTCCCTAGCTGAAAGTAATCTAAAGATCTTGGACCGATCAATCTAACATCTTTTCTATTAAAAATCTTGGAAATGCGTAAGCTCCGTTTTACAATCTTCTGCAGAAAATATAAAATGTCCGGTGTGTTTCCACCAGAATGAAACAAGGTTCTTCCTCCCCTGAGACTAGATTTTTGGAACTAATCTTAGACTCTAAGCTAAGGGCAAGGGAGCCATTGGGAAAAGATACGGTGTAGACCCACGCATGATTTACTGACTCTACCTGCGGTGGTGAGACTTGTGCTGATGTACGATATTCTGGTATGGTAGCCTGCCATCAATATGAGATTGGCAAGCAAGGTACAAAGGATGGCATGAATGCGCATTGATTGAGATGGTTTTTCATCTTCTTTCGGTTGACATTCTGGGGAAGCAAATAGCGGCAGGATCGGCTATACGCCTAAGGACTGCATCACATTGGTTCGGTGACTCTATGGTATAGCCGCGTTTACACTGCAAACTAGCAATCCCGCGCAATGTGATAACACGAAAGTCCACTTTAAGAAGGGTTCGGGATCCTTGCGGCAACGGAGCAAGCCAACAGCAGGTGTGCACACTAGATCTACGTTGTGACATTAGAGCTGTAATAGGAGCTACAACGGGACACTGTCTGAATGGCGAACACGCCAGGTGAATGTAGCGCCTCGCTAAAGATCTTTGCAGAAACTATCATGACGCTGAGGAGAATGCCTCATTTTCTGTGCTCATGCCCAGCTTTGGCACAGAAAGGTGGAGGTTCTTTTGGTCGCATTTCTTTTTGCTAGTTATAAAGAACTTAACCAGTTCATAAAGAATTCGAGCTGATTCACATGGGGGTGGAGATATGGAGATCCAGCGGTATCACAACGGGTTTACTTAGCCTAGGCTTATCTGCGGACAGCCGCGTCAACCTAAACCTAACGTTAATCTAAACTCAAAAACTCAAAACATCAAAAATTAAGTAAAAATAAAACAAACTAAAATTCACAATCGCAAAAATAAGAAATCGAACTAAAAAAATTAATTACAAACTGTAAAAATTAAAACACATTCAGAACATTATTGCGTGTTAATAATACTCAGAGAACATTCAAAATATAATATTCAGAAAACATATAAAAAAATCGAATAAAACATTTCGAATATCAACTTTAAGCCTGGGAACTTAAAGCCGAATTAAATCAAAATCCGAAAAAAATTAGTTATAAAGTTCAAATTTAAATCAAGAAAGATATTTTTTATTGTATAAAAACAAGATTGAATATTTCGGGAAAAACTAACTCAAACGTTTTTTAATAAAAACAAAAAAAAGTTTCCATTAATTAGAACGAGGATCTATACAAGCTCTAAAATCCAAAAAAATAAAGTTTGGTAAAACCAATGGTTTGTATTGTAGCACTTTTCCATTCAACAAGTGAGAATTCTGCTTTTAAATACAGTCTATGTATACCTATCACACTATTAAAATTATTATCATTCATATACAAAACTATTTCTAGAATTGCATATATTTAGGATGAACGATTTATGCAGTCTTTCAAATAAAGCAAAAATTAATATAAAGTGGGGTTAACATAATGCTCGATTTTAAGGGTTAATTGTGTGAGTTAAGAAAAATAATTATATTTTTTAATGTCATGGAATTTACCGTTAGCTTTTCGTGTTTATAGAAATTTGAAAAAGTTAAAAGTTGCGGTTTCGGAAATATAAGGTGTCAAAAATTCAAATTTTACAAATTTCAAGAGGGGATAACTTGAGAGGTGGATGGAAAAAAATTTTCTTCTAACGAAATGAACTATTTGTTAGTGTTTAAGAGTCCCTAGAATTTCAAGCTTCTACAGGCTGGGGTCTAGAAGAAAAACGAAAAGTGCTAAAAACAGAACATTTACATACCAGAACGATCCACAGGTATAATATTCTTTTTTTTTCAAGTTCTATGGTGTGAAAATTAATAAATCAGTATGGGTAAATACAGATACTCTTACAATGTGGGACAGTATCGAGCTGTGGTGTAAGAAAAGAATTGTTACAAAATAAGCGAAAACCCGGTTTGAGGTAAAATTTAATTGTTCATAATTAAGGTATAAGTAATTTCTTTAATGCGTTTACATAATCTTCAAATTGTTTTTGATTTGGGCACACTAATTCGTCAAAAATTTTCATTTAATGAAAATTTGATTGTTTATTAAGGTTATGAACGACAAACAGCATAAAACTAGTAGGCACAAATTTTTCCAAAATTTTTTGCGAATATACATACAAAAAATTTATCTGTGAAATATATCTAGAATTTTGAAAGTCGGAGCTGTTTCGGAAAAAAACAGAATTTTCTTTTTGAAGTCGGTTAAAAATAAAGTATTTTAAAAATGTTTAATGAACTTCCATAATTTTGTTAATATTTTTTGATAAAAAACGTTATAGAACATCAACGTTCAACTGTATTCGCTTTCCTGAAAAGTTCTATAACAATTATTAATTTGTTATTGCTTACCATTATTAAAATCTTCAATTCCTTGCTTACCTGTAACGTAAAAAAAATAAAAATTAGGTTTAAGATATAGCTAATATCTGCAATTTATCCAACGAATACTTTATTACAAAATTGCCTTGACCTATTTTATCAGAAAATTTTTCGACATTGTGAATATTCACAATTTTATCAAATATTCAAAAAATCGAAAATGTAGGCAATACATTATCTTTTGTAAAAATTTGTTATATTATACAATTTTAAAAATACAATGAAAAACATCTATTTACCTTTAAAACAAGCACAGCCCATAATGTATCCCATCATCAGAGCAGCAGGTTTTAAACTTTGTGCGCGAAACTTTTTTTTAAAGTCTACTATTAGCAGAAATTTACCTATCTTATACTTTGTATATAATATATGTAATTTACATTAAATGGAAGAACTTTTGCAAGCTAAAGAGATATATTTTTCAACTAAATGTTTCACTTGTTTATAAATATTAATTTTTTTTTTGACAAAAATTGAAAAATAAACCTCTAACTAAAATAATATATAAAAAGTCAGCGCTATCACCTTTTAATAAAACGCATTTTTAAAATTATTACATAAATAATTTAATTGAAAAACACTATTTCAGTTTTGTGAAAAATCCATCTTATTTAAAATATTCAACAGTTTAATTTAATAAAAAGTTTCATAATTTTTGATTTTGTAGTGTAATAACAGTACATTAGACATAAACGTGTCTACAATACAAGAAAATAGATACATACGTTATATAATAAATAAACATTTGAAATGAAAGAAAAACTGAAAATTGTTATGAATGTTTACTTTACTTATGAATGAATAACGTTTTATTCATTCTAAATTAATTAAAAAAATGTAAGCACATTGCAATAATTCTTTATGTAAATTTAATTTACCCTTGTAATTCAATTTATTTATATGTATAAATTTCAATACTGACTTTTATAAAAATGTGCTAGAGAAGGAAACATTCATTCTCATATTGCACAATACATCAAAGAATAAACAAAAGATAAAAATAAATATCATCGGCTGTGTTAATGAAAGTAAGTTTTGAGCAGCTTGAATATAATCAAGGCTCTAAACTATTTTAAGCTATTATTGTGGTCATGCGTTAAAATTGGATTTTATGATTCGTGAACTTTCGAGATGAGTTGATTTACTTTGAATGAAATTGTCACACGCTTTGCTTTTACTGCAACTTCAACAAATAAAGCAATAAAACAACCGTAGCATTTTGATTCTACTACGGAGTTTAGCAACATGTTGATGATAGGAACATGTACATATGTTTTCACAAGAGGAACCTTACCATTAGTTTAATGTTTTACATTTTACAAATGTAAATCTTCAATTTAAACATATTTCAAACAAATAAATTTAAAAATCAAATACATGATTTTAAAAATTCTTAAATGAATAGCTGTATAATTTCACTACACACCTGCACAAATTATGTACATTACAGCGACATAGTTTGTTGCAACGATCTCCGAAAATATTGCGTGTTTTAATTAATTTGTTCTATATGTTTTAACAACCTTCTACTAGGCAGTAACATCTGTTATCTGTTTTTGATTCCTCACCTTTCTATACTGAAATTTTGTTCAGTTTAAGATTTATGTGGACATAAGGTATACGCATATAAGGTATATAGGCTATGCAGGTATAACAAGCAAACATAGTATCAAACAAATACAAACTTTCCAGAATAAAGTACTTCGTAATATAGTGGATGCTTCCTAGTATGTACGCAAAACGGAATTGGATGTCCCCCAAGTAAGTAGAGAAAGGGTACGTTTAAACCATACCTTTGTTCCATACGTTTGTATGGAACAAAGAATAAACAACACGTGTATGAAACAAAGAATAAACATGTTTAAGATTTCCGGGGACCTTTAAAGTCCCCCGTGATCACCCGATGAATTTTCTCTTAAAAGAAAATTAGTTGTTTCTCATTAGTGATTAGTTATTAATTAGTAGTTATTAGTTAATAGTTAATAGTTAATAGGTAATAGTTATTAGTTAATAGGTAATAGGTAATAGTTATTAGTTATTAGTTATTACTTATTAATTATTAGTTATTCAGTTATTAGTTATTAGTTATTAGTTATTAGTTATAAGTTATTAGTTATTAGTTATTAGTTATTAGTTATTAGTTATTAGTTATTAGTTATTAGTTATTAGTTATTAGTTATTAGTTATTAGTTATTAGTTATTAGTTATTAGTTATTAGTTATTAGTTATTAGTTATTAGTTATTAGTTATTAGTTATTAGTTATTAGTTATTAGTTATTAGTTATTAGTTATTAGTTATTAGTTATTAGTTATTAGTTATTAGTTATTAGTTATTAGTTATTAGTTATTAGTTATTAGTTATTAGTTATTAGTTATTAGTTATTAGTTATTAGTTATTAGTTATTAGTTATTAGTTATTAGTTATTAGTTATTAGTTATTAGTTATTAGTTATTAGTTATTAGTTATTAGTTATTAGTTATTAGTTATTAGTTATTAGTTATTAGTTATTAGTTATTAGTTATTAGTTATTAGTTATTAGTTATTAGTTATTAGTTATTAGTTATTAGTTATTAGTTATTAGTTATTAGTTATTAGTTATTAGTTATTAGTTATTAGTTATTAGTTATTAGTTATTAGTTATTAGTTATTAGTTATTAGTTATTAGTTATTAGTTATTAGTTATTAGTTATTAGTTATTAGTTATTAGTTATTAGTTATTAGTTATTAGTTATTAGTTATTAGTTATTAGTTATTAGTTATCAGTTATTAGTTATTAGTTATTAGTTATTAGTTATTAGTTATTAGTTATTAGTTATTAGTTATTAGTTATTAGTTATTAGTTATTAGTTATTAGTTATTAGTTATTAGTTATTAGTTATTAGTTATTAGTTATTAGTTATTAGTTATTAGTTATTAGTTATTAGTTATTAGTTATTAGTTATTAGTTATTAGTTATTAGTTATTAGTTATTAGTTATTAGTTATTAGTTATTAGTTATTAGTTATTAGTTATTAGTTATTAGTTATTACTTATTAGCTATTAGTTATTAGTTAGTTATTAGTTATTAGTTAGTTATTAGTTATTAGTTATTAGTTATTAGTTATTAGTTATTAGTTATTAGTTATTAGTTATTAGTTATTAGTTATTAGTTATTAGTTATTAGTTATTAGTTATTAGTTATTAGTTATTAGTTATTAGTTATTAGTTATTAGTTATTAGTTATTAGTTATTAGTTATTAGTTATTAGTTATTAGTTATTAGTTATTAGTTATTAGTTATTAGTTATTAGTTATTAGTTATTAGTTATTAGTTATTAGTTATTAGTTATTAGTTATTAGTTATTAGTTATTAGTTATTAGTTATTAGTTATTAGTTATTAGTTATTAGTTATTAGTTATTAGTTATTAGTTATTAGTTATTAGTTATTAGTTATTAGTTATTAGTTATTAGTTATTAGTTATTAGTTATTAGTTATTAGTTATTAGTTATTAGTTATTAGTTATTAGTTATTAGTTATTAGTTATTAGTTATTAGTTATTAGTTATTAGTTATTAGTTATTAGTTATTAGTTATTAGTTATTAGTTATTAGTTATTAGTTATTAGTTATTAGTTATTAGTTATTAGTTATTAGTTATTAGTTATTAGTTATTAGTTATTAGTTATTAGTTATTAGTTATTAGTTATTAGTTATTAGTTATTAGTTATTAGTTATTAGTTATTAGTTATTAGTTATTAGTTATTAGTTATTAGTTATTAGTTATTAGTTATTAGTTATTAGTTATTAGTTATTAGTTATTAGTTATTAGTTATTAGTTATTAGTTATTAGTTATTAGTTATTAGTTATTAGTTATTAGTTATTAGTTATTAGTTATTAGTTATTAGTTATTAGTTATTAGTTATTAGTTATTAGTTATTAGTTATTAGTTATTAGTTATTAGTTATTAGTTATTAGTTATTAGTTATTAGTTATTAGTTATTAGTTATTAGTTATTAGTTATTAGTTATTAGTTATTAGTTATTAGTTATTAGTTATTAGTTATTAGTTATTAGTTATTAGTTATTAGTTATTAGTTATTAGTTATTAGTTATTAGTTATTAGTTATTAGTTATTAGTTATTAGTTATTAGTTATTAGTTATTAGTTATTAGTTATTAGTTATTAGTTATTAGTTATTAGTTATTAGTTATTAGTTATTAGTTATTAGTTATTAGTTATTAGTTATTAGTTATTAGTTATTAGTTATTAGTTATTAGTTATTAGTTATTAGTTATTAGTTATTAGTTATTAAATAGTTATTAGTTATTAGTTATTAGTTATTAGTTATTAGTTATTAGTTAATAGTTATTAGTTATTAGTTATTAGTTATTAGTTATTAGTTATTAGTTATTAGTTATTAGGTATTAGTTATTAGTTATTAGTTATTAGTTATTAGTTATTAGTTATTATTTATTAGTTATTAGTTATTAGTTATTAGTTATTAGTTATTAGTTATTTGTTATTAGTTATTAGTTATTAGTTATTAGTTATTAGTTATTAGTTATTAGTTATTAGTTATTAGTTATTAGTTATTAGTTATTAGCTATTAGTTATTAGTTATTAGTTATTAGTTATTAGTTATTAGTTATTAGTTATTAGTTATTAGTTATTAGTTATTAGTTATTAGTTATTAGTTATTAGTTATTAGTTATTAGTTATTAGTTATTAGTTATTAGTTATTAGTTATTAGTTATTAGTTATTAGTTATTAGTTATTAGTTATTAGTTATTAGTTATTAGTTATTAGTTATTAGTTATTAGTTATTAGTTATTAGTTATTAGTTATTAGTTATTAGTTATTAGTTATTAGTTATTAGTTATTAGTTATTAGTTATTAGTTATTAGTTATTAGTTATTAGTTATTAGGTATTAGTTATTAGTTATTAGTTATTAGTTATTAGTTATTAGTTATTAGTTATTAGTTATTAGTTATTAGTTATTAGTTATTAGTTATTAGTTATT